GTTACTGATTCTATGAATAAAGGCTGATAGTTTCTAAAGGAACTGTTTGGCGCTGTGTCGGTGGGGTTAATGAAATAATTTGAATATATCAACAAAGTTGAAATGGTAAATTGGCCACCGTTACGATTATAAAAGCTGACGTTTCAAGCGTTAACCCTTTGTCGGAGCGAATAGGGGAATTGTGGGTTGTGTGTGCTTTTAAAGGCAGAAAAAGGAGCTACGTGATTGGTGGGAACATGGCAACGAGAAAAAAACGAATAAATTAGTGGAATGATTCTACTGATTCTATGTTAAGTTTCACCTTCCGAAAAACGCAGGTGTGTTGAACGGAGCTATTTATAGGTAGCATACTCTAACATTAGCATTCTCTAAGACAAAAAAACTTAGCGCTTTCATTCATTACCAGCACGTTCAGCCCCGACTCTACCTGGGTCTCCCTCTCACTGTCTCTTTCCCAGAAGCAGTTTATTTCACTGTCGCTGTCAATGTCAATGTCACTGTCTCGATCTTTGCCACTGTCTTTGTTATTGTCTCTGTCTCTTTCTATGCCAAACTTACCGTCATTATTTTTGTCACTATCAATTTCCTGGTCACGGTGTTTGTTATTATCACTGTCTGTTGCAATGTCACTATAGTTAACACTCTCTGTGCGTGTAACTGTCACTGCCACTGTCAAAGTCTCTGTAACTATCAGTGTCACTGAAAATATAACCACCACTATCGTCACACTTTCAACCCCGCAGTAACTGTCACTGTCTCTGTCACAGCTGCTATTACTATTACTGTCTCTGTCTTTATCACTCTTTCTCTCCTAACCACCGTCTCTGTCACTGTAAAAGTCACTCTAAAAGTCACTGTCTCCGTATTTGTCACTGTCACTGTCAATATCTTTGTCTATGTCTATGTACCCGTCTCTGTCTCTGTCACTGTCTCTGTTTCCGCCACTGCCATTGTCACTGTCAGAGTCGATGTGACCTCATTATGACTGTCTTTCATTACCGTGTCATTACCTCTGTCTATCTCTCAGTCACTGTCTCTATCCCAATTACTGTCTATTTCACTGTCACTTCGACCTTCACTGTCTTTGCTTGCGATCCTGTTGCTCTCAGTCTCAATTTCAATGCTAATGTCACTGTTTCTGTCTTTCTCTCTGTTATTGCCACTGTCACTGTTATTGTCTCTGTCAACGTTTCTGTCAGTATCACTGTCGCTATCTGTGTAGATGTGTTTGTCACTGTCACTATGAAACTCTCCGTCATTGTCAAGGTTACCTTCCTTGTCACTATCCAATCCCTCTCATCATCACAGTCATTGTCATTGTCACTGTCAGTGTTACTGTCACTGTCACGGCTACTTCCACTGTAATTGTCTCTGTCACTGTATTCTCCCTGTCACTAACCTTATTGTGGTGTATTTGTAGAGACTGGGCAGTATTCGTTCCAGTCTCCCCCGACGTTTGTTGTTCTGGCGGTGAAGCGATGCCATGTGCTCGTGAATCGAAATAGAATTAAACCTTTTCCTTCGTTGAATACTTCTCACTTATCATTGTCCCTATTGCTGTCTCTGTTGTTGTTAGTGTTAATTTCCCTTCATTATGACTGTCTTTGTCACTGTTACCACCGCACTCAGTCTCTGTCACCGCCTCTGTCTCTCTCATTGGCACTCTCTCTGTCGCTGTTACTGTCACTGTAGGTCTCACTGACTTGGTCATTGTCATTCTCGATTTAAATGTCTTCATCACTGTCGAAATCACTTTCTCTCTAATCGTCGTTCTCTCTGTCACTGTCTCTATCTCTGCCATTGTCACTGTTCCTTCATTGCCATTGTCTCTGTTAGTGTTTGATGTTTAAGACATTGAAATGATTCAAAACACCTAATTCCGCTCAGTCAACGAGCTTTTATACACAGAATGAAAATGTGCAAAAAAATAATCTGTAGATTAAACGAAAAAAAAAACAAACAACTATTTGAAGAACAAAGAAATAACTTAATTAACACTCTTGTCACAATCCTAAAAGGCAACTGACAAGTAAATTTGTAGTAACAACACTGCCACTTTTTATGTTGCTTACGTATTTCACTGTTTTCATTCCTTACTTTAGGACTAGGTTCTTGAAGCGATGCCTGGGCAAAAGCTTCGTTAGAATGTTAGCAATAGACAAATTTGTGGCAGGATATTTCGAAATAATCACTGCATGGAGTACTTCTTCTCGAACAAAGTGGTAAAGTATTTTATAGCACCTTGGTTGTCTTCATAAATCACAGTTTGCCCCTCTAGAGATACTCCTACATCTGTTAGTAAACTTCGAGTCAGATTACTTCTTGAGTTGTCCTACTAAGGGCCTTATATTCCTCTTCTGCTGTTGTCAGCGTTACTGCAGCCTGTTTCTTGCTCAACTAGCTCACTGAAGCTTCCTGAAGTCGAATGACGGTCTGTAAGTCTCCCGTCCGATCTGCGTCTAAGTAATCAGTCAGCTTTCCATTAGCACACTTCTTGTGAGTCAAATCAAGGTAGGCAGTTTCTTTCAGATATCGAGAATCCGCTTTGCTGCAGCTACATGACTTCGTGTGCGGTTTGCGCACAACTTCGATACACCTCCCACTGCTAGGGCGATGTCTGTAAGAGTTGCTATGGCGGCGTAAAGTAGGCTCCTAAAAATAGACTGGTACAAGATCGCAATCACAGGACTGCTAATTAACACCATCTCTCTTTAGCAACTTGATGTTCACATCAGTAGGTGCAGGTGCCAATGCCTCTCCAATTGAGAGTGTTTTCACTAGCCTAAGACCTCAGTATGCACCAACGGTAGTTTATGCGCTGACCAGATCTCTACCACTGTGGGAAATGGTTTTTGGTACATATTTCCTACCAAACATCGTTCGCAAAACGATAGCTCAGTCATTTTCTTGATTTCAATCCCTTCTAGAGACTCACTTGAAGCACGTTTCTTGAAGTGTGACTCCGGTGCACATGTCCGAGATGTTGATACCTTAAGTCGCTGCCTCGAGATGAAATAATTGAAGCATACCCACTGTAGAGAACACTGTAGAGAACAAACTTCTCGGAAACACTTCCATGAAACAGCCCAATGCTTTTACGACACGACCAATGCACCATTTCAGGCTCGACAAATTTGATATCACAATTGATCGATTGGCCCTCTTCGTTCACCCTTAGCCACCTTTGCTTTGTGTGATTTAAAATCCTTTGTTTTATCTACAAAACACACTAAAACTTCAATTCTTACATAATCAACTCAAAGTTTCCTGAGCCTAAAACCCGAGAGAGAGTGAAATTATTCAAAATAATTTCATTCTGTACACTCAGCCAGGGTTTCACACACAAAATGAATATATTTACTGTTACTCTCACGGTCAGTCAATATCACTGTCACTTTAACTGACACTGTGACTGTCATTGTGAACGTCACTGCAACTGCCACTTAAAGTATCTCAGTCACAGTCTGTCACTGTCTCTGTCACTGTAACTATCACTAACACTGTCATTGTGTCTTTCTCTGTTATTGTCCCTGACACTTCATTGTAACTGTCTCCATCATTGTCAAAGTCACTGTCCCTGTCACTGTCTCTGTCACTGTAACTATCACTAACACTGTCATTGTGTCTTTCTCTGTTATTGTCCCTGACACTTCATTGTAACTGTCTCCATCTTTGTCAAAGCCACATTCACTCTCAAGGTCACTTCATTGTCTAAGGGTCACTTCATTGTTTGTCACTGTCATTGTCACTGTCACTCTCTTTGTTGCTAACTGTTTTTGTCTAAGTCAATACACCGTGATTGTCACTCTCACTTCGAGTTCTTTTGCTCTGTATTTCACTGTGAGTGACCTCATAATCAATGTCTATTTCTGTCACTGTCACTTTTGTCTGTCAATGTCTTCGTTACTGTTTCTGTCAATGCCTTTGCCTTTTTCACTGCACTGTCAGTGTCACTGTTATTTCATTTTCATCATCTCTATGACCGTCTCTGTTACTGTCTCTGTTTTGACATTGTCACTGTCCCTATAATGGTCACTGTTACCTTCAATCTCTCTGTCAATGTCAGTGTCTCAGTCACTGTCGCTGTCTCTGTCACCGATATTACCAACTGTCCTTGTCAGTATCTCTGTCACTGTCTCTTTCTTTGTCCTTGTCACTGACTCTTCTTGTCGCTGTAACTGTCAAAGTCACCGTCAGTCTTTGTCATTCACTAGTTGCCACTGCCACTGTAACATTTATTGCGTGTCACTATCAAGGTCACTGTAAATGTGACTTTCTTTTGCCTATTAGTGTCACAGTCACTCTCACTCTTACTGTTTTTGCCGATGTCACTCTCTCACTCTCTGTTTCTATCACTAGCAATATCAACGACATTGTCATACTCTCCTTGTCCGCCACTCACACTGTCAAAGTATGTCAATGTCACAAATTCTGTTAAAGTTTAGGTACTGTCCCTGTCTCTGTCAGTATTACTTCGTCACTCTCACTGTCACTGCTCTCTCTGTGTCTGGAGAGTTATCAGTGTCTCTGTCACAGGGACTGTCACTCTCTCAGTTAATTTTCAATGTCTCCGATTCTGTCATTGTCATTGTCACTTTCATTGTCACTGCACGTTCACTATCCTTGCCACTTGAGACGTATTGAACAAAGGAAAAGCTTTAATTCTATTTCGATTCACGAGCACATGGCATCGCTTCACAACCAGAGCAACAAACGTCGCGGGAGACTGGAACGAATACTGCCCAGTCTCTACAACTACACCACACCACTCACACTGTTGCTGTGACTGTCATTGCCTTTGTCGTTATCAGTTTCGCTAAATCTTTGTTGTCGCTGTCACTGTAATCTTTTACCATCTCTACTGTCACTCTCCTCCTAATTCTCTTTTTCTTATCCTCCCCGTCACTTCCTCTCTTGCTATCTCTGTCACCATCAGTGTCACTTTTGCTGGCAAAAGGACTCTGCCACTTTCACTCTCACTCTCTCTGTCACTGTTTCATTCACTCTGTCAAGGTCACTTTAAATGTCAGCTTCACTGTCACTTTCACTGTCACCGAGGGGTCGTTAGCACTCCAGTAAATCTGTAGCTGAACAACCAACCCCATTGTCAAGTGGCCCACGGCAAGATTTGCCCATAGAATTGTTAGGACAGTTACCATCAGGAATTTCTGTTCTACTTCAGCAGATACTATGAAGGGGAAATTTGTACGCTCCACGACGACAGAGACAATATAGAGTGCCTAGAGAGAACATTCATAAGCCATGGATTACCTATATTACTTAGAAGTGTCAATGGTCCACAAATTAGGGCGAGTGTGTTTAAGCAGATTCCGAAAAACCTTGGTATAGGAGGACCACACCGCAGGGGCTCTAAGCCAACGGCGAGGTTGAGAAGTAAAACAAATCCCTTTTCAAAAAGGTGAGGATAACTCAAGCTGAAGATAAAAATGGAAGTAGGAAATTCCAAGGTATGTGGTAGCCTTAAGGTCAGCCTCTCACGCCACCACAGGCATAAGTGCAGCTGAACTTCTTTCGGATGGACGATCTGCACTAAGTTACCAGACGTTAGAGAGGAGAGTACAGCAAATTGGATGTCAGACAGATTCTTAAACGAAGGCAAAAGGCAAACTGTATGTGGACAAGGGGAGGACTGTCGAAGACCGCAAGAATAAGTTGTAGACGCCATTTACCCTTAACTTTATGAGGTTGTGAAGAAAGCTGGGAACACTATCAGCTTTGACTCACGAGACAGTACTCAGCATATTCAAATATTAAAAAGTCCGAGGAAGCATGTCAAGAACTAGAGGAAACAGGGCAGCTGACTGATGTTAATATTTCAGTTGATCCGAAAGTGGAACAATAAAAGCCCAGTTATGTCAAGACCGACTTGAGTCAGGAGGCTGCCAGGAAGATTTAAGGAGTTTTTTATGACCTGAGCATTACTGATTAAGACTTGGTTTTGACCACGGGTGTCATCGCCAAGAATCCCGGCTGACTCGAGTGTCACAGCGAATGATTTTGATCTTTATTCTTTTATTTGGATAAAATTTGAACTTTCTATTACCTTAATGACAGGATAAATTAGGACTGAAATTTTTTTTTTGTTCTCTATGTTAGGGTATAGATTATTCATTGACTGCAAAAGGAGAGATGTAGGGTTTGTGAGGATGTAGGGTTTGGATGCAGCATCAATCAAATAATTAGGTGCGAAATGCATGTATGGACGGTGAGTATTAGAGCACACAGCGGATTTGATTGGAGTATGTGTTCTTTGTGTCCAATAATCTCATTCCGTCAGTTTGAATACGGCCTTGTAATACGATTTTTGGAGTGACTTTGTCACCTTGCTGTGCGAATAATTAATTGCGACGACTGCAGATCATTTGATTGGTGCAGAAATTTTTTCCAACTAACGAAGTTCTTTAGCAACAGGTTTAAGTTTTTGACCGTTAGATTCGAAAATCAGCGAGTAAATACTAACCAAATGAGCTAACCGCCCCCGTTTAGCTCAAATGGTTAGAGCGCCGGATTGCCGTGTTTTTGCGGGAGGTCGAGGGTTCGAGCCCTGGCCGGACCAATACTTATGGTCTTAAAAATAACTGAGGAGAATTTGCTACCCTTCTATAAAATCAAGAAATGGATAGATGTTCTAGTCTTCTCGCATAAGGACTAATAAACCGTAGGCCCCGTCTCCTGCAGGGTTAGGGGTAGGAGACGTTAATTTCCCACGCACGAGATTACTGTGTGGTGGATGTCTTTCCCAGGGGTGGGATGGGAGGGTGTTCACAGGGCCCCATTTAAACTAGCTATCTGCTAAACTGGGCTACCCTGAATAAATATTCGCACATACATACACACATACTGACATACATACATACATACATATATACATATATACTGACTTAAATCTAGATCTCGAAGATTTGCCTAGTGGGTGGGTTTTACTGAGTCGCAAATTTCATGGGGCCCCCATTTAAACTAGCTATCTGCTAAACTGGGCTACCCTGTATAAATATTCGCACATACATACATACATACATACATACATACATACATACATACTGACTTAAATCTAGATCTCGAAGATTTGACTATTGCCTGGGCTTCACTTAGTCGCAAATTTCAGTTGATACTATCCCTAAGTGCTGACTACAACCAAGCCACCGACCAAAAGCGGCATTTTCTCGACTATCAGCTTTCTCTTCGATCCATTCGCTTTCCCAAGTCTTTTTGTTCGTTTAGGAGTGGTAGTTCAGTGGATGGAACGCGTTACAGAGAAATTACTTACACTGAAACTTATGTCATGGTTTTTGCGCTTCGTCGATTACATTGTGAAGAAGAATGTTTCTCTTACATCACCAGGGAGAAGCGTCTTCGAAATGCGAAATTTATCAGAGACGATTGTGCTGCTGGTTCAACGCCAAACTTTTCCCTTCGCTCCGACGAAGGGCTAACGCTCGAAACGTCAGCTTTTGTATTCGTTACGGTGGCCAATTTACCATTTCAACTTTGTTGATATATCCAAATTTTTCCCCAAGAAACTGATTTCCTGAGTGACGGAAGTCAAGTAAAGGTTTACAGCAAACTTGCTTACCTCTCTCTTGTGCTAAGGAAAAGAAGTAGCCTTATGGAAGAATGAATCCTACACACCCAAATTCCACTTAAAACATCCACCAGATGATACTTCCAAAGGAACATTTTATTTCAACCTTAAGAGTGCGTCACTATCAAGAGACCTTATCCCGTGTCGGTTGCGAGCACGTATTCTCAGTTCTACGCAAGAGATTTTAAATACCAGAATCCAGACTTCTCATTCGACAAGTTCATGTAAAGAGAGCTCCTATGCAGCAGATAATGGAGGAGCTGCCAAAGAAACGTCTTATTTTGTTTGACCTACGTTCGCTTACATTGTAGTAGATTTCCTTGGCTCAATTTATATATAGCGAGAGCGGGGTGTGGATAAGGTGTATGTATCTTCCTCTCAAGAATGGGATCCAGACGAGTTGAATAAGCATCTTAAGAGAGGCGAGAGTTCGAACCCCCTGCGGCCAGCCACTTGAACAGACTTTGGGAAAGGCTTATTCGAAGCGTTCAAAAGACGATGAAAGCAATCCTTGGAAACCGGAAATACACTGGTTGGTTTGGAAACTTTTGCGAATAGTGTCTGCTGAAGTTGTAGCAATCCTTAACAGCCGTCCCCTTACTCCAAGCAGTAATAGGGACTTTAAGCAAACTACGAGGGCTACGGCAACGAGAACGTGGAAAAACTATGGATCTAATTGGCAGAACAATAGCCCAGCACGTGCGTTTTAAAACTTTGTACATTTCTTAGCCGTCCTTTGCAAAACAACAACTTGAAATCGCCAAAATTTGCGTCGTCTGCGAAGCGAAACCGCGGGGGCAGATTATTTTAATTTACAAGTGGAATTCAACGCTACTTTTATGCCTTATGTTGAGTTTGAGGTCTGGCGCCCTATGAGACGGTAAACACATGCAGCCACTTTTGAAATTCTAACTAAAAGTAGAAACTCATTTTTTAATCGAAGTCTTCCGTGGCGTTGCCGTCCTGACTGCTTAAAGTCCCTAGTGATCCAAATGACGGCGAGCCCGTTAGTCGGAAACTTCTTTTTCCATAATGATGGACGAAATCTTGCCTAGCTCTGGGGCTGTTCGGACGCGAAGATCTTTACAGAGGGAAGCAATGGAAAAGGGTGGGATATGAAATTACATGTACATTCAAACACTGCAACAATTAACTACATAACTGGATATGCGAGAAATGCAGTTTAAAGACTAAAGATTTCATCCGGGTCGTGGTTAACAATCCCACGAAGATGATGAGTCCTTGGATCTTGATGTCAAGACCTTCCATGGACAGGATCACCGGGTTTGCACGAGGAAGGTAGGAGGTGACTGTGTTGACTTGTTGTCAAACCCGCAGACCCTTACGCCAGGAACTGCGTGATAGTATAAATCGAATTTTTCATATTGATTTTGTGAATGTTTAGTTAAATTCAGCCATGGCACACAGGATCGCGTGGCGAGTTTCCAACTGTTTTTTTTTTTCTTTAACACTTCCTACGTACCTCATACCAATTGATTTACGAGCATTTTTTTTCGGTTTTTCTTTAGTTTACTTAGATACGATTATTTTTGCACTTTATGTAAATTACGCTGGTACATGTTTTGCATGTCTCACGTCTTTCTAGCAGTGTATGTTTAAATGTTGGTTCTGTGCCATGTTCCGTTCGAATGTTTTGTGTTTCCAATACTTCTCTCGGTATTTAATTGTATTTGCATTGTATTTGCATTGTATTCAATTTCCCGTGTCTCTTTTTTCAGTATATTTTCTGAAAATCATTTCTACTTTTTAAGAATATAATTCTTCTTCACCCAATAAAAAGTGGCAAATTAACTAGGTGGGAAGCCCAGATGTTTTATCGAAGCTAGCTCATGCCTTTTCATAAATATTTGGAAACGAAGTTCATTGCATTTTGTACACTCTTTTTGCAAACAATATGCAATGTTTTGGGACGCAAAATCAAGACTAAAAATATCAGCAATGACAAGATTCTAGAATGCGAAGGTCATCATTGTAAACGTTGTTTAGACAAGGCTGTGGATCATGGCCATAACCTAAGATCTTGTAAGACGAACCCAGCGCACATCAGAATACCTGCATCACGCACTATTAGGCACAAACAATCGTTTATTATTAGAGGTGCTAAACTTAAATTGACAGAACTTAATTGAGCATATATTTGTTGTGTTTTGAACTTTTTTAAATTTGAATTCTTGAATTTTGAAATTTTTTATTCGAATATTACCGTAATTCTTATCGCCAAAGGTAACAAATAAATGTATTAAAAAAAACCAAAACAAAAATGCGCAAACATAGAGAGGCTGGGTTCGACAACTGAAAGCTCATTTTCATACAAGATCTGTCAACTGAACTGGGTTTCTTTTTGAGATCTTAGATGTTTGAATGCGTGATTAACCCTCGTTGTGCTGAGTTTAAGCCACTCGAAACCGATTTCTCTGATGAAACAGTTCTTACCTTTAAAGCTATCAAATGACTCCTCTTGTATCTCAGATGCCAAGCCAAAGTCAATCAACTTCACTTCATCATTTGTTAAATCCAGCAAGATATTTTCAGGCTTGATATCGCGGAGTACAACACCTTTTTCTTCACATCTGATGTTAGCTTCCAAGATTTGAGTGATGTATCGTCTCACTTCTTTTTCTGACAGTGGGTTTCCTGCGGAGTTACGATCCTGAATGACGTCGAAAAAGTCTTTGCAGGATTCTGGTCGTTCCACGACAAAACAGTAATGTTCTTCTGTAAAGATGAGTTGGTAGATTTGGATGACGTTCGGGTGACGCACTCGACTCATCAGATAAGCCTCAGCCGGGATTTCTCTTCCTCTCAGCTATAACAAGGGACTGGAGAAAGGATAAGAGTTTCATTACAATTAATACTTGCTCTTATTAGCTTTCAGTTGCAAACCAAACGGCGACAAGGATTTGCTGATTATTTGGAGTAAGGAGCCACCCTTGAACAATAAGAACAATCCTAAGGGAATTTGGAGGACTATCAAGTCGCTCATCGGTGTCAATAAACAACAATCAATTCATCGTTTGAGAACCGATGGGCATAAAATTATAAATAATAAAGAAATGGCTGAAGCATTTAATACTCACTTCTCAACAATTGCAGGCAAGCTGTGGAATTTGTTACCTGACATGCCGTTTGACACCGCTAAGCTGAGTAGTTACTCATGTAAGATCGCGGAAGGACGAAATGGTTATCTTCTCGATTCCATCAATAACAGAAAGAGATGTTGTTAGTTACCTCATAAAAATCGATTCTAACAATCTACTGGCATTGTGGATATCAGTTCTCGAATGCTCAAATTGGCTACTCCAGTTGTTGCACCCCCAGTTGCAAAGTTGATCAACCTTTCTTTTTTTTCAAACGTGTTTCCCAGTCGCTGGAAGGGCTGCCAAGGCGACACCGATCTTCAAGAGCGGAGACCCTACTGACGTTACAAACTATCGTCCAATATCTGTTTTTCCCATACTATCTAAGATTGCTGAGAGACATGTTCACAACGCACTTTACAGCTTTCTGTCCGAAAATGACTTAATTTATACTAGACAATCAGGCTGTCTTCCAAGACATAACACAAAAACTGCCTTAATCAAGGTCATCGACGATCTCCTATTCAACCTCGATAATGAATGTGTTAGTGGGATGGTCCTGATTGATTATCGTAAAGCGTTCGACATGATAGATCATACCCTGGTGTTAAAGAAATTTGAAGTTTATGGGCTTAGTACGGAAACCCTCCAATGGTTTACCTCTTATCTGAGAAATAGACGCCAACTTGTCAAATTGGGGGATAAACAATCTAATACGTATGATGCACGATCCTCGCAGTATAGAGCGCTATTTATGCAATAGCGAAAATCAGACCTGAAAAAATTCAGGCCTGTACGGGATTTGAACCACTGACCTCTGCGATACTAGTGCAGCGCTCTTGTAAGCTCAATCGGTAGAGCGCTGCACTAGTATCGCAGAGGTCAGTGGTTCGAATCCTGTACAGGCCTGATTTATTTCGGGTTTGATTTTCACTATTGCTTAAATAGTACTATCTACTGTGAGGATCGTGCATCATACGAGCCAAGTGTTCTTCAAAAAATCTGACCAATTGACATGATTAGTCTTTACGGTGTTGTTGTCACACAATAACTCGTTCACATCTGAAGCTGTTATAGTCATTGGTGATATTTACCTTTCTTTGTTTGCCATGAGATCCTTATAAACTTTGTTGGAAAAAGAATTGCTTTTTTACTAAAGATTATTTACTTTTCTACATGTTTGACTTCTAATAAGTTGTACTAGGTTGAAGACCAACTTGTCGATGTCTCTACTAGATTTTATACGTCAGTGAGTTGGCACTGTCAAGTTGAACCGTCAGTGACTTGACTGTAATTCTTAGGTGCTGCTTGGAATTCTTGAAAATTTAACAGGTTGCTCTACTGGTTTGAAATTTCTTTGTTGTGCCCAAAATAAGAGGGGGGACTGATCACAGCTGTCAAAATGTAGGTCTCCACTGCTGACAACAGTCCTTACCAGGACTTCTCTCACTCGGACAATATTATGATCTAGGTTGACTTGGAGATAAACTTCACGCATTAACCCTTTACACTCTGACATCAGTATGCATATTCTCCATACTGTTCTGTATGACTTTCCCATGGTGCTGACAAAGAGAATTTATTAAACAATCAATAGCTTCTTTAGTAGCTGATCACTTCCTTTATTCTTGTGTCTATAAAGGTGTGATTTCGGGAGTCATATTGTGAGGAGAAATCAACTGCTTGTTACTCCTAGGGGCTAAAGGGTTGGCAGTTTTGTAAAATGTCTCAGAAACTGAATGAATACCTGCAAGCTGCTCAGAGAAGTCCTCATCAAATGATTTGGAAGTAGAGCTTTCCTCATCAAGGTTTATAATAGTTGAAGATGGATTCTGGTTCATAGCAGCAGCTTTGTGTTTAATAGTACCACTGGAGAGCTGAGATTTGCTTGAAAATATAAGGCACACCTAATATCAGAAACTTCTACTGAATCGGTTGTCTGGTACAAAGAAAATTTACAAGCAATTGAATTTTATCTCTAATTTTCACACGGTAGGAGGAGTTACACTATACTTGACCACCCACGCTAATGTTTGAGTGTGATATTAATTTTTGGTGAAGGGTTTAAATTCTGTGGTAAACCCTTTAAATCTCTGGTATTTGCATAAAGCACCACTCATTTTACATGTATTCTCTCTATGCATCAAACATCTATATGAAGAAGTGGCTGCCTATATTCATAGAATGGCTCAGTGAGACAGTGCACACCTTTAAATCTCCTAAGATCTAACTGTTTATTCTCCCTTCTGGCTACTACACATTTCCTTGTAAATTTGTAATAAGAGTTTGGTGTTATATCAAGACAACAACTTCTACCTGAGAAGTTTGAGTATTCTCATTACCCTTTTGCTGGATAATGTATGGATATTATTGAGATAACTTTCATGTTAATTAGAGATTTAAAGGGTTTATAAATGAAATAGGAAAAGTTGTTAGACAAGGAAAAGGTCATTCAACATTTCACATTGTTACAGAGCTTCAGTGACAGTCACCCTACTTTCATCATGCTATAGTGTCAGACATTTCTTGTAAAGTATACACAAGCTGCTGAAACTAACAGTTAACCATCTACAACTGTACACACCTGTTAGATTCATTTGATTTGACAGGACGATCTTTAGGAGGCAGGAATGCATGCAGAGTCTGTTCTCTGCTATCAGTTCTCACCATCTGATGAGCATAAACTTTTGCCCCATTTGATTTTTCTCCCTCAACAGATGTAACTAGAAACAAACATGCCAAAATCAATAACAGTTTTAAAAAATCTAAAATAAGATGAAATAACTTCTAAAATTCTTTACTCTATCAGTAAATTTCCTCAGCTATACAACATATAATAATTGAACCACTGACCTCTGCGATACTAGTGCAGCGCTCTACCAATTGAGCTAACAAGCCAACTGGGAGCAGGCCATTAAGTTGATTCGAATCTAACGAATCCTGTACAGGCCTGATTTATTTCAGGTCTGATTTTCGCTATTGCATAAATAGCGCTCTCTACTGCGAGGATCGGGCATCATACGTATCTACAACCGCAGTTCAAAATATATGAACTTCATATATTCATTGTACCAAACAATCTAATGTTGCCAACGTTCCTCATGGCATTCCCCAGGGGTCAATACTCGGCCCCGTCATGCTTTATGTCAGCTCAATCTGGACTAGCTGTAACAAGGAGAGTCTAGGTTGTGTTTTAAAATCGCAGAAACGAGCAGCCAGGTTAATTTCTGATACTGACAACCAAGCGTCTAGTGTCAAGCTGTTCAATAGACTTCAGTGGCTCCCTTTTTATGAGGGATCTAAAATAGCTAAATGCTGCGTTGCGTACAAACGTATCAAGCGTGAAGTATCCTTATATACTGAAGGCTCTTTAATACTTAATAGTCAGCAACATAATCGTGCTACAAGATATAGCAACACTAATTTTATTTGCCTAAGATTTAATCGTATAGCTTTAGTCTAGAACTCAGGAATTGTGTATCATTAGATTCTTTTAAGAACAATTATAGAAACAACCTTCTTAATGTGCAACAGAAACTATATCATTTTATAGTCTAACATATGATTCATCATTTGCTCTCTAGTTACAATTTATTTTTACTCGTAATCCGTCTTCTTATTAGATATTCCTAGTTTTTATCGATAGTTATGTTAGAATTCAACATACATTGCCTGTTAGAATTTTTAAGATAGAGGGCCACAAGGTTATTAGTTACTTCAACTATTCCGTGCCACCCTCTCTAAATAAAGTGTATCATCATCAGCTGCTTACCAATCAATTTTGCGATCGTATTTTTCGACGGATGCAATGATGTCCATGACGGTCCACAGCCGACACCAATTTTTTACTCCTGATCAAGATAACTTAAATGTTTATTCATATGAGCACAAATTGATTGGTTAGGGGAAGAGAAATTCGCGCAAGATATAAACAGCTCTATAAAAACAAAACATCAGGCGATCGAGCATGCTTACTCCAGGTAGAGAGCATCCAAATGAGCAGGAGACAATTGCGCTAATTAGTGTGTGAACAGGAAACAATTGCGCTAATTAGTGTGTGAACAGGAAACAATCGCGTTAATCAGTGGGATCATGGCGTTCATTAGAATTTTTTGCACTACGTGATCCTTTTGAGCTACTTGCGATCGACCATTTTCGTATATATTAGTTATAGTTCAGTATTCTGTTCGTATTAAGTTTTCTTCTTTCCTCGGAGAGTGTGGTTCCCTTAAGGTTTGGTCTTGTAATCGAGTGAAATAGAATTAAATGTTTTTATGGTAAACACCATATGTGAAGTAAATAACTGCAATCCAATATTAAATCTGCTCAAACATTTCCAGTGAATCCCAACTTCCTTGCATCATGTACAGCGGAATGCAAAGTAATGGTAGGCATTCCGGACAAGTCAGCGTGTTAGTTTCACCTTTGAATTACAAAATTGAGTTCCGTAGCAGTAGTATCAATCTGTCGTCTTACGTCGCTCGTCCATTAACACAACAACACTTCGTCTTGTCAGAATACTGAAAATTGAAACGTTAATGATGTTGAACTTGCCAAACCAGCGGTGAAAAAAAAAACAATGGTGATACTTAAACAAATGATCCTAAGAAAGCACAACAGGAGGGGTGATTACCGCCAAAATTAAGTTTGAAATTTTCTTATGCTGTTTGCCGATGCGGTTTTTAATATTCCGCAGGTGTTTGTGGTGTTCTCAATGATGTTCGCCAAAACTTCGATGCTATTATTCGTGTCCGTATGCTATTATGCGAAACTTAACTTCGATGCTATTATTTGTGTCCGAATGCTATTATTCGTGTCCGTATGGTGTTCTGCAAAACCTCGATGCTATTATTCGTGTTTCGAATTACGCTATGGTCTGGCGTGAGTGATAAATCAATTATGCATTTTCTTCCCGCGGAAAGAAAATTTAGGTTACTCTCGGAAAGCTGCAAGATGGCGGAAGTTGTAAATCGTCTTCGAGCATGGATTAATGCAATTTTGCAACAACTTGCCTCACCAAACTTAGCTTCTGACAGCCATGTCGAAACTCTGTATAACACAATTGTGAGGTTCGATGGAGTTCATGGAATTGACCACAATATTATTAACCATCTAAGAGAAGTGCGTGACTTACTCGGCTCCCATAATCGTTCTTTTTCATGATAAGCCCTTGCCTGTTACTGTCATTATTCTGTCAAAGAGAGTCACTATTTTGCTGACTAGAGCCACTGTTCATGGCTTACATTTTGTACTCCTTGCCGCATTGAAGATCCTTGATGTGGCTCATTTGAAGTGCCTGTAACCGGACCTTCGTTTGACTGTTCAAGTAAAGTTTGCACAACACGAAGCAGGCTGACCACCCTCCCACAAGGCGTGCGAGACGAACTATTGCCTTCCGCCATCTTGCAGCTTTGCGAGAGAAGCATAAATCTTTTTTTCGCGGGAAGAAAATGCATAATTAATTTATCCCTCGCGCCATACAACAGCTGTCGAGCTCTCTGAAGACCCGTATTAAGACGAACATAATTCGAAACGGACAGAGCTGAATAACGTATACGCATGCGCTAGGTTTTGCCGCGGAAACACGGATTTTGAGTCGTTGGCATGGTTGATTTCCTATTCTGTTACTTCGAGACGTCGTCTTCCTTGCCGCTTTTCTTTTACAGAACAACCTCCAAAAACTTGGTACACCTCCTAAAAGTTTTCAAAAATTAATTTTCTCCTTAAAACCTTTGGAAATAGGAAAGTGCCTTCGACGACTGACAGAGTTCCTCGGTTTTAAAAGTCAGCCCTTATTATTTTCTGCTAATTATTTCGCTAAATTTTAGACCTAGGACACTTGAACCCACGTTATTGACCGCATACCCTCTGACGTAGCATTTCATTATTCAGTTATTTCATAATTAGCCCAATTATGGCTCTTGTTCCAAACTTAATTTTGGCAGTAATCACCCCTCATAGCACAATCCTTTCAAAGAGTTAATTGAAAATTATTTACGGCGAGGGGAAAGAATTCGAAAACAATTGAAAAAATTTCCATACAAAACATTCACGTAACTAAGAATGCAAGAAACTCATTTATCCTCAGGAATACAGCTGCAACCCAGTGTAAGTAAAAAACCTAAATTAAAAATGTGTGACTAAAAAGTAAAGGAAAAAATCTTATTTCTAAGAGGTAGTGAGTAAACGAGGACCCCAAAACGAAGACCCCCTACCAAAACGAAGACCCCCTACCAAAACGAAGACCTCCTATCAAAACGAAGACCCCCTACCAAAACGAAGACCCCCCCCACCAAAACGAGGACCCCATTACCAAAACGAAGACTCATTACCAAAACAAAGACCCAAATTCGTTATGTTCATACACCGAATCGAAATATGGCGTCCAATTTTAACTGCCATTGTTCTGGACTTACTAGCCTCTCACACATGTGATAATCCTTTTGTGTTTTCCACGTGAAGACGAGGCTAGTAAGTCCAGAACAATGGTAATTCAAATAATTGGACGCCATATTTCAACAGGACTTACGCACGATGACGTCAAAACAATTTCTCGCAGCGTCAAACCGAGGCTTGGTGGTGATCGCTTCGCGTGTTTTGTTGGTGTTTAGAGAAATAATCAATTCCCCTCGTCTGTTTTTTTCACTCTTTGTTCGAAATGCCTCAATGGTGTAATGCCTAGGGCTGTACAATCTCTTCAGACATGAAAATCAAAGTCCTGGCATCGCTTACCGCAGGAGAACAAAGTACGTAAACACGTACGTAAACACAGCGTCGGACGATTTGCCAGAAACATGTGATGGCTTTGAAATTTGACAGCATTGTCTGGATCAATAAGGTCCTTATCGAGAGCACTATTTATATAACTTTGAACTCTAAAAGGGACAGTTGATTTCTTTTAGTTTGATCATCCAACGTAAAATACCGGTATGCCGGGGAAATAAGCTATTCACGAGTATTTACCTTTCGACCGAGGATCGCTTCGTTCCGCTCAATTTCGATCCTTTCCTGCAGGAAAGCCATCTCTTTAACGCAGGAATAGTCAGTTGACTAGGAGTGTTCACTCTTAAGGAAGTTCCGTCGATATCATCCTCAGAAAGAGTATTTTTAGGCGAATTTCCTACAGCCATGTCCGATGTGACATATATTTTTCTCTGATATTCCCGCGAAACCATCACCACCAATGTTGTCACTTTCAAAGCCATCACATGTTTCTGGCAGATCTATGGTACATGGTGGCCTAGGAATGCCATAAGAAAATTGTGTAGTACCTTGTTAGTTTCCCGGTATTTATTATGTTATTTCATTTTATTTTTGAACTTTAAACGAAAAATAATTATATCGAGATACTTTAAATCAAAAAGTAAAACAGAAATTTTTAATAAATAGTTAAATGAAACGAAAATAATCTTATCTTAGCCTAGCAGCTAGCAGGGCCATAAGGTTTTTCTTCAAAAAAAAAAAAGAATTCGGTCGTGGCCTATCGATGCCATAGCCCACAATGCACTTGGGTCATGATGTTTCCTGCCAAGATGGCGGGAAATCAAATCAGAAATGGCGACTGGATGTAAAATCAAACGCTTAAAGGTGATTTATCAAAGTACGTCCGGCAAAACTGAAAAAAAGGGAGATTTTAGACTTCATAGAATCGAAATACCCAATGTATGCATGGAGTAAGCGAACTTTAGCACGCAGGCTGCAGTACTTTGACATTAAGTTCAGGGATTATGAAGTGGATATTGAAGATGTGAAAGAAGCTGTGAGACGCGAACTGGATGGTCCGGCACAGCTGATTGGCTATCGTTCCATGCAACAAAAGGTACGCGAGATTCACGGGCTAAATGTGCCCCGTGATGTTGTTTACGCTGTAATGAAAGAAGTTTCCCCGGAAGGGCTTCAAGCAAGAGGAGGTGTGGGAAAAACAAAGCGGCACCGGAGAACCAATACTTTTGTTACTGGTGTAAGTAGGCTTTTATCCGTTTTTTACTTGAAATGACGCCGCGTTGAAATAGCTATTAGGAGTAGTTAATTG